ATATATATATATATATATATATATATATATATATGTAAAAACTGGATTCCCAAAAGCAAATAACCCAACTAAAAATGGTGTTCAAAAATAAAAAGAGAATTTTCAAAAGATGAAACTCAAACAGCTGAGAAACACTTCAACATCCTTATTCATCAGGGAAATGCAAATCAAAACTAATTTGAGATATATCCCAGTCAGAATGGCTAAGACAAACAAAACAAATGAGAGGTCATGCTTGCAAGGATATGGTGCAAATGAAACACTTATTCATTTTTGGTGAGAATGCAAACTTGTACAGCCACCATGGAAAGCAGTGTGGTGTTTTCTCAGGAATCTGGGAATTGATCCACCTCAAAATCCATCTACACATCTCACTGGCATACACCCAAAGGACTCCATATTCTACTACAGCTATACCTGCTCATCCATGTTCATTGTTGTTCTATTTACAATAGCCAGAAATGAGAAACAAACTAAATGTCCTTTAACTAATGAACAGATAATGAAAATGTGACACATTTACACAATGGAGTATTTTGCTTCTGTTAAAAGTGGAAATTATAAAACTTACAGGTAAATGCATGAAGCTAGAAGAAATCATCCTAAGTGAGGTAATCCAGATCCAAAAGACAATATTATATGGTTTCTCTTAAATGTGGATGTTAGCTTTTAAGCTGTAGCTATGTATGCTAAAATCCATGTAACCACAGAGATTCTGCATCAAGTAAGGGACTGCTGGAAAGGATCACTCAAGTAAAGGGAAATATAATATAATCTATAGTTATAGAAAGACAGTGGAAAGATGAAATGGGAAGGGCAATGGAAGAGAGGGGAGGATGGGACTATCGGGAGGGACAATTCACTAAAGGCCATTTTAAAAGCCACATGGAAACCTACCATTGCAGAAGCCTCCTAAAATATGTATGTATATGAAATAAATTCAAATGGATTCTTCAAGTAACAGGGGAGACAATGCCCCAATTAGACACTTTTGCCACCGTGTGACACCTTCAGTTACACCTAGTGGAAAGAATGGCCAAAGTGGCGCCATGAAAACTCCTAAATATTTCAGGTATCAGAGAACTCATAGATCTTTCTGTGACTATCTCCATTTTGCACATTACTCAAATTTGGTAACATATGGGTCTTATTACTGTTTGGTTGTCTTTTATCTTACTATACATTTATTCAGTTATTTCTTTGGATGGTATAATATATCAGAGTTTGTCTTACATAATATCTCCTCATGATGGCTCTTACCTTGGTTTATTTCATTTTTTTCTGTATCATTTCCTATGCTGGATGAATGGGTAGCTTTTCGGGAAGCTTCCTGCAGTGGATAAGGGTCAAAGACACTCTGTCAAATGGTATTAGTAATGTGTATCAGAAAGGTCTTATTTTTCTTTCCAGGAATATACCTTGATTTCTGACTTAAGAAAAGTGTACTTCAGAATATATGCAGAATATATTGAAGACCATGATATCTGAATGGGGAATCTTATATATACACTCAAGTTTAAGTTCATCTTTTATTTCTCATGGCAGGCCATTATGTACAAGGAATATAGAAGAGAGGAATCACATTTATAGACAAAGTAATACCTGATGTTCATATATCAATTAAAACAATTATTTTTATATTACAATACATCAAACTAATATGTACTTCCTAGTAAAGTTGGAGTATGTTTATGAAATAAATGTTCACATTCTTAGTAGGGCCATTTCTTTAATGCAAGATTAAACACAAAGTGTTGTAACAATGACACTATGTGGTTAGTCATAATTGAAGAGCTGAATCGTGTTAAATGTATTTATATTATATCATGTTAAGTGTGAAGGGAACGAGGCAGAAGTTGCTTAATTTCAGTAAAAATGAGCTAACAGAACTGACATATTTTGTTTATTTCTTATAGATTAAAAAACTGGAACAAAATGATAAGACCAAAATGTTTTTCTATGTTATCTTTAAACAATATAATTGGAATACTAAGTAGGTGTAGCATGCAAATGTTTCTCAGTAAACAGAAATTTCCCCCAAACACATCATTTCCACATTTTTATTCTACATGTTTACAATAATAACCAAATCTTGCTTTCTCATCATTCAAGAACTTTGCCAGTTATGAGAAGATGTTGTCCACTATTCTATATGTTCAGTAATGCCATCCTAGTTGATATTTACTGAGTGGACACAGATTCATCTTCTAAGACATCTTGGCTTTCATGCTTAGATCTCTGATGACAAAATACCATTCTCACTCCTATCCTGTACTAACTACAATTTTCCCTAAATCACCCCCATTGTCATATGTTTTCTTTACACCAAAATGCACCTATCTGACCCAAAACAGTTGCTTTTTACTTGTTTTGTGTCTTATCACCTCAACATAGGCTTCTATCTGAGTCAGTTCTTAATTTCTCAGCATATAGTAGATATTCACTATAAAGATTTATGTAAGCTTAAAATATTAAAAAATATCTTCAGAATGTCCTCATACTACACTAAGTATGTTACTGTATGTTGTGTCTCTAAAAAGATCATGGAAAAGGGAAAGCCATAGTGTCTTGAATCTATGTGAATTCTCTACATTAACTCAATTCCTAAAATATATATATATATAGACACTGGACTAGAATTGGGAAATGAGTGATTTTCTTTGTTGAAATGAGCAAAATATTTTAGTTGTTCCTTCAAAATTAGGGCTCCGTTGTGGAAGCAAACATTCTTTTAATAGGCAATTTAGTTGGTTATATGATCATATTATCTCCTCAAATGAGGACCCTGAAATAATCCGATGACCATAAAGAAAAAAATTGCTCCTTAATGTGACTGAGTGTAATTATTATACCACAAATTTAGTTTCTGCAGAAAGAATCACCTTTATGAAATGAATTCAATTCTGAAATCATTAATTTTTTATATCACCTACTATTTCAAATGGACAGACATGAGACTCTTCAGTTATATAAAGAGCTTAGCATGAAACACAGATAATAACCACATATTATTTACTGAACAACAAAAGAAAATGATTAACT